AACGTACTCCTAAATATGGTGTACATGGATATAATTGATGCAATGCTTTTAAAAGTTTAGGAATCATCGGTACAAATTTTAAAGTTCAGAAAGAACATGTATAAACTTTGAAGAGTTCGGGAATAAATGGTACGAAAAATTCGTCGTCACGCATTGCCTCGGGAGTTGCATTGGAACATAAAAGAGAAAAGAGAGGATGTGTATTCTTGATAGTTTGTTCTTGGCAAGCAAAAGAGAGATCACACTACACTTATACATGTTTGTGTGATGTGTTGATGCTTGATTTTGAATTGAAACTTAGCTACAACCTGTTTAGTCTGTGGCCATTGTTGTCTGATTTAGGGGTTGAGTACATTGCTCTTTCATATTTTTGTGCTCCGATCAAATTGTGTTTCATATTTTTGTTTTTTTTTTGAATTGACATGCATAAAATGTAAACAATATATCCCCTTCGTCTAAAAATGATCTTCTCATTCACTATTCGTCTAGTCAAACTTTAATCACGTTTTTAACTATTTCATTAGTTATTTGATAAAATAATATAATCATGTCGCATCGTATTTTGTAAAAATTTTGGTATAGTTTAGAATATATAATTTTTATTTTTTAATGTTACACCTAGAATCAAATAAATCCAATTAAACTAATTTCTGTCAGACCTCGCAAACCGACCTATCATGTGAAGATTATTTATGGCGGAGGGAATAACACTAAAAAAATGTACGGAGTAATTAATAATATAGTTTGTGCATCCCAAGATCTCGAAACAAACTTCTGAAATTTTATTTTTTCTAGAAAAAGTCAAATACGTCTCCAAATTACAGTAATTAGGAGTGAAGGGAGTATTATTAAGTATGTAGTACGTGGCATTGTCATTTTTTCTAATTGTGTGATTGAGTTGGATTTTATGGGGAAGCGAACAATGTTAGCCTCCACTAGCTAAGTAGTCAAGATTTGATAGTTAGGTTTAGCAATTCATTCATTGAAAACAACTCAATGAATAGGGTGTTGCCATTTAATTAACCCTTCTTGTATTATATTCTCTGCACAAGTACATGTTTTTTATTTCTTCTAATTTTGTCTTAATGATAGGTCTGGTTTGTACTCCCTTCGTTTGCAAAAAGACTTCCCATTTTGATTTGGGAAAAAATAAGGAAGTGTTAAATTATACTCCCTCCGTCCCTAAATAAAGTTCCATTTTTGACTTTTTGAGGATTTAAGGGAGAGATATTTTGGTGTTGACTTTCTAAAAATACCCTTGATGTGATGTGTTAAAGTAAGATATGATAGGTAGATTATTAGTAAAAAGGTATGATGTGATAGGTAGGGTATGAAAAAGTAAGGGGTAAAAGGGGGTTTTTAAGGGAAAAGAGAAGTTTATTTAGGGACAAAGAAAAAACGAAAGAGGAACTTTATTTAGGGACGGAGGGAGTAGTTGATTTCCAGTTTTGCCCATGATGTGATGAGTAAAAGTAAGATGTGATGGATAGATTATAAGAGAAAAAGTATGATGTGATAGGTAGGGTATGAAAAAGTAAGGGTAAAAGTGGTTTTTTAATAAAAAAGAGAAGTGTTTTGTTGGAAGTGGAAAAAATGAAAGAGGAAGTGTTTTTTAAAATGGGGAGAGTAGTTATTAACGACTAGTAAGCTTTTGTTTTAGGACTTTAGCACATCCTTTGTTTTCGCATACTAGTTGAAGAATTGAAGGAATCAATTCTTAAAATTAATATTACTTCATATTATTTACATGACCAAATTTTATTTATTTATTTTATTAATTTGTTTGATAAGATAATATTATGTGCCACTTCTTATTTTGTCAATTTTTTTTCGTAATTTTTAAATAAATAAATTTTATTTTTTAATTCTATACAGATTTTCAAAATATTTATTTAAAAATAACTTTTACCAAATATAATTAAAACAACAACAGACAACTTAAATGGGACGAATGAGAACTACCTTGGACCCAATAAGATTGAAAGAAATATATCTTGGCAGGACTAAAATATAATCATTATCCTCAAAACAAGAGTGATATGTTACATTTTAATCCCAAAATAAGACTTAAGTTATTACTCCAAAAGAAATGTAAATCTATTGAGAGAGAAACTAAAATAGGCGTTAGGAACATAGAAAACGAATTAGAATATGTATTTCATATTTTTATCTGCGAGATATGACTTATAATGCCAGTATTTAATATCAAAAGTATATTCTGAAATACCAATAAATATTGACATATTGTCACGTACAAAGCATTAATTCTATTTTTGAGAAAAAACATGACACTCATGCTTAAGATATACTTCCTCCGTCCCACAAAAAAGTTCTCATTTTGACCATAAATTGGTCAAACTGTTGCACACTTTGACCCTAAATTAAATCACTACAAGAAAATTCCTCTTCTGCAACGGAAAAATTTCGTGGCAGAATTTAATTTTCCGTGGCAGATTTCTATTTTGCGACGGATCTGCCACGAAATTGTTCCGTCGCAGAAAAGTTGTGGCACATTCAATATCTGCGACGGACTTTAAAATCCGTGGCAGATCTGCGACGGACCAGCAACGAGATTTTCATTTTTTCCATCCAGCAAAATCTGCGATGGATATAAAAAACCGTCGCAGATCTGCGACGGATATAAAAAACCGTCGCAAATCTGCGTCGGAATTAGCAACGGATACCTCCGTCGCAGATCAGCGACAAATATAGCCACGGTCATGTCCGTCGCAGATGACCTGTTGCCAGAACCAGAATTTTGCTGTTTTCAGCACTACCTATTAAAATGGGGTGTGTGGGGGGCAAAACACATTCAATCTTCACACATATAATTCCAAACAAAATTTCAAACACCCAAATTGATAATTCAAATCTAGATTAATGCGAATGTAGCATAATTCATTATGTTCTAACAACAAATATTAAAATGTTAGTGTCAAGTGTTTAAAATGGAGGAAGCTAAGGTCGTAAATGTCTCAACAAATCCCGGGCTGCCCTGCCCCTCCTGTTCCATCATCATCACCTCGTCGAGGAAGGTTACCACCATATAGCTTCATTATCTCCTCTTGAATCGTAAGTGACAAGTTCGAGGTAGACTATCAATTTGTTCCTGCAACCTTTGGTTTTGCTCTTTGAGTGTTGATATCTCCGCAGTGCTTCTACTACTCGTGCTGGAACGGCGAGGTTTGGAGGACGGATTCATCTTCCTCATTTCCCGCTCGTAGTCACCAACTCTAGGAATGCGGTTCTTCGCTGTTGGGTTAAGGAACCCAAGGGTAGGGAAGAAGGAGAAGAGTGTGAGAATGAAGAAGAATAAGGATGAAGAAGATGAATAGTGGTGAGCCTCCCTCTTCCCCCCTCCCTCTTCCAAGAAGAGAAGTATAAATAAGGGTGGAAACAGGGCTAGGGTTTCGAACTAATGGGTCGGCCCAACAGTCTGGGCCACCCTTAAATAAATAATTAACGTATGATTAACGGGCCGGTCCAACAGACTGGACCGTCCCAACTAATATTACACAAAGACCGGATACCCCCTGTCTAGGGTATCCATCATGAGTCCCCCACTTTCCGAGCCGAGAGGAACTCGAGGTGAAGTGGAAGTAGAATAAAAATCCGCCACGGAAGCACACCGTCTTCCTTGTTCCTTGCTGTCTGGAGTGCACCACCAACTCGCTGTCCCGAGCATGGTGAAGTAAGGCAAGCGACGCCATCAGTCTAAAAATGTAATGCCAACTCGTTGTCCAGAGTAAGGCGAGGTGAAAGAATCTGCACCAATGGATACGAGGTGCATTGCCGACTCGTTGTCCGGAGTGGCCAAGTGAATGGGTCTGCACCAATGAGTATGAAGTGCACTGCCGACTCGTTGTCTGGAGCGGCAAAGGGAAAAAAGTAGCAGCAATCAGCACGAAGTGTGCAGCCAACTCGTTGTCCGAGTGGCAGAGTGAAAGAAATCGTAGCAATGAGCATGAAAGGCGATGCCAACTCGCTGTCCAGAGTGGCAAGGTAAAAGAAATCGCTCCAATCAGCATGGAGTGCACTGCCGACTCGCTGTCCGGAGCGGCAAAGTGGAAAGGTTTGCGCCAATCTGCTCATTGTCTCTAAATGATCTGCTCTCGTACAGAGTGCATCGTCAGTTCGTTGTTCAGCGCACAAGGATCACAATAAGAGTGGGTGATGGAGTCGTCATCAACAACCCATCTGTTGTCTTCAAGGATCCTCTCCAAACCCCGTCAATGTGTGACTCACTCCATGGGGGATGCCTCATTAAAAACTTGCCGAGGAAAAAACCCATGAGGATGGGAAAAAATCCTCGGTCAAGAAAAGAGTACATCTCGTCCCACAAAGCGAATCAAGAAAAACATTGAAAAAAGGTGTGGGGTCTTCGAGTAAAGAAACTGTGTGAACTCGGAAGAGGCGGACTTTGAGTCCCCCAGACTCATTGTCTAGAGTCGGGGTCGTTTGCCATAATGTATCGCCAAAAAGTGCATGCCGGCACGAACTACCGTAGTGCCACGTTAGATCGAGATGTTGGTCGGCCAAGCTCTCACAATCTGTGATGTAACAATCACGAGCTGAGTACCCGGAGTCCCCCACTCCCTAAGCCGAGGAAGAATTCCAAGGTGAAAGGGAGTAGTGCCCATGCTCGGCTCCAGTGGGAGTCTTTAGTCCTCTCGCTCTGTGGCGACTTCCCTTCATATAATGATTTACCTGAAAAAATCTCAAACAAATGCAGATAATTCGATGGGCTTGGCCGATCAGCCTGGCCAGGCCGCCCATTCTTAGAGTAATTAAGACTGTGCCCTAGAAAGTGGGCTAGGGGGTGTGCATTGGGACGGCATTGAAGAGTGCCTCAAGAAGAGGGCTTAGGATGCCTCGTGAGATGAGGGCTTATATACCTTGCTTGCGAGGCGGTCAAGGCCAACCTCGGGAGGATAACTGTAGTGCCTCGTGGGATGGCCGAGGCTGACCTCGGGAGACGAGGGCTTAAATGCTTGCAAGGTGACCGGGGCCAACCTTGGGAAAAGAGTCAAGTGCCTCGTGAGGTGGATGGGACCAACCTCGGGAGAGGACTTTGTGATGCCTCGAGGAACGAGGACTTAAGTGCCTTGCGAGGTGGATGGGGCCGACCTCGGGGAAGGACTTNGATAACTGTAGTGCCTCGTGAGGTGGCCGAGGCTGACCTCGGGAGACGAGGGCTTAAATGCTTGCAAGGTGACCGGGGCCAACCTTGGGAAAAGAGTCAAGTGCCTCGTGAGGTGGATGGGACCAACCTCGGGAGAGGACTTTGTGATGCCTCGAGGAACGAGGACTTAAGTGCCTTGCGAGGTGGATGGGGCCGACCTCGGGGAAGGACTTTTTGGTGCCTCGGGAGACGATGGCTTAAGTTCTTTGCGAGGTGGCCGAGGCCGACCTCGGGAAAAGAGCCGAGTGCCTCGTGAGGCGGATGGGACCGACCTCGGGAGAGGGCTTTTTCGTGCCTCGGGAGACAAGGGCTTAAGTTCTTTGCGAGGTGGCCGCGGCCGACCTCGGGAAAAGGGCCGAGTGCCTCGTGAGGCGGATGGGACCGACCTCGGGAGAGGGCTTTTTCGTGCCTCAGGAGACGAGGGCTTAAGTTCTTTGCGAGGTGGCCGAGGCCGACCTCGGGAAAAGACTTTTGGTTGCCTCGGGAGACGAGGGATTGAGTGCCTCGTGAGGTGGATGGGGCCGACCTCGGGAGAGGGCTTTTGGGTTCCTCGGGAGACGAGGGCTTGAACACCTTGCGAGGTGGCTGAGGCCGACCTCAGGAAAACGGTGAAAAAATGTGCCATCCGTGAGCTCCGCTAGGCAAGCTCGGTTGCAAATGCCATGAGGTCTTCCACTTTGTACCTGAAAGACAAAATATGAAAAATTCCTTCGTTGTTGTTGCTTTTTTTTTGTTGGGCGGCGTGGCGCCGATGACGCGTGGTAGCGTAGAAGTGCGATCTCAGCAGATCTAAAATTTGTCCTAAGCAGGACTGGCAAGATTTTGTCCTAAGCAGGACCTTGCAATACCCTCCGGAGGGATTTGCTCGCGCAATGACGAGGACCGCGTGAGGCCATATCGTGGCGTGGAAGCCCGATGATGCACAATTGCATAAAGTCGCGTAGAAGCGAACACGAAATCGCGTGGAAGCGATACTTATTTTTTTGATGATTTTTCGTTTTCTATTTTTTTTATTTTTTTGACGAAAAACCCAAGTCGTAGAAGCAAAGTGGCACAAATCTGAGTAGGAATCATTCAGATAAGAAGTTGGTGCATATCTTAGTTAAACCATGAAGGCGGGTCGCGGCCCGATGAGACTAGAGGTGATGGATATCATTGTAGTCGGATATCAGAACATGTACTCTGCCCAATGAAAAGAAGAATTTAATAAAATTCCTCAAAGCCCCTTATGATTCTGCACATGCGCTCAGCAATACGTAGCACACTCGGCACTAACGAACTGAGGTGGACCAGACCACCACCGTCGAATCGGATCTTACAACACTGCCGCACGAACTCTGCTTGTCATGATCTTGCACTCGGACTCGGTCACCCTCCCATGCTCGGATTGAGCCCCACCAGAAATTATGAGTTCGGCCTTCGGAGTTGTCACGCACTCGCCCGTATGAGATTTTTACTCAGATGCATAAGAGGGAGGGTGAAAAAACAGAGTCTTCTCGAAATCCGATTGAAGGTACCAAATCGGCGACGATGGACGTCGGGCATTTCTCAACGAGGTTGCCCCAAAATCCACACAGAGCAGACCCCAATTAATAGATCCCCTTTCAGCTATTTATCCTTGTATAAATCGCAATAGAAATGCAACAAAATTGTATAGAACACGGAATGAGTTTGGGTCCTCCGTTACTGGTCTAAATATAAAATCTGACCCCTTTGTATCTAGATGAGCATAATAACGGTAGTACACTGATTTCTCTCATTTGTGGGGCCATCAATTAAAATTGAATCTGGCCCTCCTAACTTTATGCATTTTTTACGGAGTAATAATGTGAGAGAGTGCTCAAAATTGACAAGGCCATTTGCTTGACTACATTTCAACTACTGCAAAATTGACCCACGTTACGGAATAATAATAAAAAGACATGGGCACTTGCCTGATTATGGGTCGGAGCGTAGAAACTGACCCTATGTCTACTTCGCCGCTGCAACACACTTCATCTGATGGTCTCCCATGGTTGTCGGGAGAATAAATAAAAAATAACACTCCATCGTCATCGGCCTGAGAAACAGATCTGCTGCTCCAGATTTGATGCTCATGCGATGGAGAACATCGCCGTGACCTTCGTCCAACAGTAGCAGCGTAACAAGGCCGACCCTTGAGTCCCTTGACTTCCGTTGCTGTGGTGCTTCGAGGCCGACGACGGGCATTAGCAGCTCCAGTTCCTCTCACGGAGTAATCCGTATATCTTTACCCCTTTTTATTTTAGTGGTGATAATCACAATAAAATGAGGTACCATCAAGTGGAGTGCCCACTTGCCTCCAATTTCAATAAATCACACCTGACACCATACCCCATTTTCTTAAGTAGGAATGATTATAACAAGCCCACTTGCCTGACTCCTCCTTTACAGGCTGGAAAGTAGAGGATGCGTCCCTGTCCCTATTGGAGGTTCGACACATCTGCTGTAATCAACGGCTGGCGGTCGGCCGTCAACACGTGGACCGGTGGTCGGTTGCTGCTGGGTTTCGCTGTCGTTGGTCGCCGCGGCAGAGGATGGCTCGACGGCGGTTCCTCTATCGCCCACGTCACGCGGGTGCCATTTTAAGCTTAATCGTCACCACCGCCGGCGATGCGAAGGAACTTCACCCGTCATCTGCGAGATATAGCCATGAGCGGCCACCATCTTGAAAACCTCCACCGGCCCTTGTGCCAATCTAGCGGTTCCGCCCGTGCTTGCTGCGAAATCAAGCCACATTAGCAGCGGCGATTCCAAGTGTCCCTCGGAGACTCTAATTAAGGGCTTCGCCGAGAGCTTTGGTTACATCGGGCTCTATTTTGACACGACATCCAATTTCCTCTCAAGGAAACCGATTAGCCCCGATGGTCAACCAGAAATAACATACACGAACGGTGTCAGCTGCCCTGTTTGGTTAGAGGTAATATTGTTGGTTTCTGTCCCCGAACACTCGACGGGGATTTGCGAATGGCAAGAACAGCCACGCCCCTGACCGTCATCGAATTTTAATCTGCCGGAGTTGTCAGACCGTCGTTGGGCGCCACTGCCAGTACAGTAGCCCGAATGGTGTTTTCCTGCCCACATCAGGTCCCAATAGACAGTGGTCAATCGATGATGGTTCACCGGAAATTGCCAGATCTCGTCATTGTTGAAGGTGACCCCAGGGACATGTACGGGCAGTCTCAACAAACCGCCACGAACACAAATAGCAGCCGCTGAAGCTATTAGACCGCGTCTGGGCACCGTCGACGGTGGAGAGAGCTCCGCCTGGGTCGGGTCGAAAATTTGACCCAGTCCGTCACTAACAGCCCGGATCGAGTCTCAAAGGGAAAAACTGAGCCTGTTCTTCATCGTGGACCGCCGATTGGAGTTTAGTAGTTCATTGGATGAAAAATTAACTACACAGTCCCCCGAACGTAAGTTCGGATTTTACAGAGAAATTAAAGAAAATTGTAGAAAGCACGCTTGGTGCGTCTGATCTCTCAATGAAAGCACCATTGTTGGGTTAAGGAACCCAAGGGTAGGGAAGAAGGAGAAGAGTGTGAGGATGAAGAAGAATAAGGATGAAGAAGATGAATAGTGGTGAGCCTCCCTCTTCCCCCCTCCCTCTTCCAAGAAGAGAAGTATAAATAAGGGTGGAAACAGGGCTAGGGTTTCGAACTAATGGGCCGGCCCAACAGACTGGGCCGCCCTTAAATAAATAATTAACGTATGACTAACGGGCCGGTCCAACAGACTGGACCGTCCCAACTAATATTACACAAAGACCGGATACCCCCTGTCTAGGGTATCCATCATTCGTGTTATGGCCCTCAACTAACGAGTACCATATTTCTTCGTCGGTGACTTGCAGCCCATTCTGTGTAGCCTCCTCTTGCAGTTCGAAGAATTGAGCCTGAAATACATAATAGTTAATAACACACAGCAACACAATAATCATTGCGTAAGGAACAGCAATAAAACAAGAAAAACAAGACCACAAGAACTCAACAACTAACATTACCATGGATCAATAACAACGTAAAATTTACTTAGTGTTGACAGCACCATCAACGCAACAATAAAAATAGGTTGTCATAGGACAACAACGCTATCAATGCAACAACACAAATAGCTAGTGTCATACGACAACAACACCACCATCAACGCAACAACAATAATAAACGCGATTTACAATAACATCAACAAAAGAATAACGTCAACAAGAATAATATAATTCATTTACACACGCTAAGATATCGAATAAAGTATCACCCTTTAGAAGTTTTAAGACAAAAGCACCAACATTATGAACATGAACACAAACTGTTTTGCGTATAACAGAAACTACCTGTAGCTCAGCATGTTCAGGATCCACCCAAGTCTTGCCGTCGTGCTTCTTTGTCTTTGTGTGGATGATAACCTCATCAAACGACACATGCCCCCCCTTTTTTTAGCCTTCAAGTTTCAATAAACATGTCCATTAAATTTTACATTTAATGTCCACTAATTCAAATAACAAGTGCAAAGCTATTATTTTATAAAAACATATCTTACCAATCGATTCATATTTTCAGAAAATGGAACTGAACCTCCACAATACGTCCCAAGAGCAGGACCATCCTCTTTTCCCTTCCTTCTGTTCTTCTTCTTAGTGTTACTCAACTTCAGAAACTCCGGATCCTCTATACTTGTATATGTCATAAAAATTACTTGTACATAGCAATACGATTTCGTATGAAAACTATTACTAATTTACCTTCTTCAACTGCTCAAATGGACGCGGGTCCTTCTTCTTCTTCTTCAATCGACCTGGGTTCCTTTGATTGTACGTAAAATTTGCGTACCGTTCAGCCGCTTTCTTGAGAAAATCTTTCCTCAGCCGGCCCTCATCGATTGACGGATCCACTCTAGCATTTTTCTACATTGACATCATAGAAAAGCCAGTAATTTAGATTCTATTCACATATACTAATTTTCTAGTGATCAAAAGAAGTTAAAACATAATTCTTCCAAAAAACCTTGAACTCTCGATAGTAGAACTCCTTCGTCATCGCTGAGACTTTGCCCCACTACATGCCAGTTGTGTCCGTCCTCTCGTAGAATGCCGGTGTGATGAGACCAGCACCAGCGCTAGTGATTGTAACCCGACAAACATATAAGTAGTGAACATAAAATTGTTAGGTATTTGTAAATGTTTTATGTCATACCATAATGTTCAAATATACACCGTACTTACTTGTCATCCGAATTGACATACACGAACTGACGCTGATGACCGGGACCCTCACCATCTCGAGCCCCACAACTGTGTCCATCGTCAACGTGGTCCTCGGAGTCGTGGTCATCACCACCTCCGTCCTCCTAATCCTCAGTACTCTCCCCGACCCTAGATGCTATTTACACAATAACACAATAATACATGCATTAAAAAGAGCTAGTAACAAGCGTAGACATTGTTTCAGTTTCTTGATAAATGAAACATCACTCTAATGGCTTATCCATTGGAAAGTTTACTATATTAGTCTCTAAGAGGAGAGGTGCATACCTGACGTACAAGGGCCAGATGTCCCACCGTACGCTTGGACATATACAAGCGTTTCAACCTCGGTGTAAGCGGAAAGTAGAACATCTGTCTGTGCGGAATCTTAGACGTCTCGTCTTTATAGCGTGGCTTATGACACACCTTGCACTCGGTAAGACTTTCATCGCCTCTCCAATATAACATGCATCCAAGAACACAACAATGAATCTTTTGGACCGGAAGACCCAAACCTTCAATCATCTTTTTAGTTTCATAAAAGTCATTCACCATTGAGTTGTCCTCCGGGAGAATGTCTTTGATGTATTGACATATGGTGTCGTAACAACGCTCAGATAGATTATGCTCTGACTTAATATTCAACAAGCGCGCAACTGCAGACAACTGAGATGTCTTNGGCCGACCTCGGGAGAGGGCTTTTGGGTGCCTCGGGAGGTGAGTGCTTGAACATCTTGCGAGATGGCTGAGGCCGACCTCAGGAAAATGGTGAAAAAATGTGCCATCCGTGAGCTCTGCTAGGCAGGCTCGGTTGCAAATGCCATGAGGTCTTCCACTTTGTACCTGAAAGACAAAATATGAAAATTTCCTTCGTTGTTGTTGCTTTTTTTTTTGTTGGGCGGCGTGGCGCCGATGACGCGTGGTAGCGTAGAAGTGCGATCTCAGCAGATCTAATATTTGTCCTAAGCAGGACTGGCAAGATTTTGTCCTAAGCAGGACCTTGCAATACCCTCCGGAGGGATTTGCTCGCGCAATGACGAGGACCGCGTGAGGCCATATTGTGGCATGGAAGCCCGATGATGCACAGCTGCATAAAGTCGCGTAGAAGCGAACATGAAATCGCGTGGAAGCGATACTTATTTTTTTTATGATTTTTCGTTTTCTATTTTTTTTCTTTTTTTTTGTTGAAAAACACAAGTCGTAGAAGCAAAGTGGCACAAATCTGAGTAGGAATCATTCAGATAAGATGTTGGTGCATATCTTAGTTAAACCATGAAGGCGGGTCGCGGCCCGATGAGACTAGAGGTGATGGATATCATTGCAGTCGGATATCAGAACATGTACTCTGCCCAATAAAAAGAAGAATATGATAAAATTCCTCAAAGCCCCTTATGATTCTGCACATGCGCTCAGCAATACGTAGCACACTCGGCACTAACGAACTGAGGTGGACCAGACCACCACCGTCGAATCGGATCTTACAACACTGCCGCACGAACTCTGCTTGTCATGATCTTGCACTCGGACTCGGTCACCCTCCCATTCTCGGATTGAGCCCCCTAACTGATTATGGGTTGGAGCGCAGAAACTGACCCCATGTCTACTTCGCCGCTGCAGCACGCTTCATCTGATGGTCTGCCATGGTTGCCGGGAGAATAAATCAAAAATAACACTCCATCGTCATCGGATTTAGAAATAGATCTGCTGCTCCAGATTTGATGCTTATGCGATGGAGAACATCGCCGTGACCTTCGCCCAACAGTAGCAGCGTAACAAGGCCGACCCTTGAGTCCCTTGACTTCCGCTGCTGTGGTGCTTCGAGGCCGACGACGGACATTAGCAGCTCCAGTTCCTCTCACGGAGTAATCCGTATATCTTTACCCCTTTTTATTTTAGTGGTGATAATCACAATAAAATGAGGTACCATCAAGTGAAGTGCCCACTTGCCTCCAATTTCAATAAGTCACACCTGACACCATACCCCATTTTCTTAAGTAGGAATGATTATAACAAGCCCACTTGCCTGACCCCTCCTTTACAGGCTGGAAACTAGAGGATGCGTCCCTGCCCCTATTGGCGGTTCGGCACATCTGCTGTAATCAACGGCTGGCGGTCGGCCGTCAACACGTGGAGCGGTGGTCGGTTGCTGCTGGGTTTCGCTGTCGTCGGTCGCCGCGGCAGAGGATGGCTCGACGGCGGTTCCTCCATCGCCCACGTCACGCGGGTGCCATTTTAAGCTTAATCGTCACCACCGCCGGCGATGCGAAGGAACTTCACCCGTCATCTGCGAGATATAGCCATGAGCGGCCACCATCTTGAAAACCTCCACCGGCCCTCGTGCCAATCTGGCGGTTCCGCCCGTGCTTGCTGCGAAATCAAGCCACATCAGCAGCGGCGATTCCAAGTCTCCCTCGGAGACTCTAATTAAGGGCTTCGCCGAGAGCTTTGGTTACATCGGGCTCTATTTCGACACGACATCCAATTTCCTTTCAAGGAAACCGATTAGCCCCGATGGTCAACCAGAAATAACATACACGAACGGTGTCAGCTCCCCTGCTTGGTTAGAGGTAATATTGTTGGTTTCTGTCCCCGAACACTCGACGGGGATTTGCGAATGGCAAGAACAGCCACGCCCCTGACCGTCATCGAATTTTAATCTGCCGGAGTTGTCGGACCGTCGTTGGGCGCCGCTGCCAGTATAGTAGCCCGAATGGTGTTTTCCTGCCTACATCAGGTCCCAATAGACAGTGGTCAATCGATGATGGTTCACCGGAAATTGCCAGATCTCGTCATTGGTGAAGGCGACCCCAGGGACATGTACGGGCAGTCTCAAAAAACCGCCACGAACACAAATAGCAGCCGCTGAAGCTATTAGACCGCGTCTGGGCACCGTCGATGGTGGAGAGAGCTCCGCCTGGGTCGGGTCGAAAATTTGACCCAGGTCCGTCACTAACAGCCCGGATCGAGTCTTAAAGGGAAAAACTGAGCTTGTTCTTCATCGTGGACCGCCGATTGGAGTTTAGTAGTTCATTGGATGAAAAATGAACTACACAGTCCCCCGAACGTAAGTTCGGATTTTACAGAGAAATTAAAGAAAATTGTAGAAAGCACGCTTGATGCGTCCGATCTCTCAACGAGAGCACCATTGTTGGGTTAAGGAACCCAAGGGTAGGGAAGAAGGAGAAGAGTGTGAAGAAGAAGATGAATAGTGTAGTGTTGTCTAAGCCTCCCTTTTCCTCCCTCCCCTCCTCTTCCACGAAGAGGAGTATAAATAGGGACAGCCAGGGTTAGGGTTCCGATCAAATGGGTCGGCCCAACAGACTGGGCCGCCCTAAATAATAAATATGCGACTAATGGGCCGGCCCAACAGACTGGGCCACCCTTAAATAAATAATTAACGTACGACTAACGGGCCGGTCCAACAGATTGGACCGCCCCAACTAATATTATACAAAGTCTGGATACCCCATGTCCAGGGTATCCATCAGATAGTAACTCGGTTGGCTAATCACTCGATCCAAGGAAAGATTTTATCTCAAAGACACATGGGTCAAGAAGTTGTTATTCCAAGACTATCACTGACACCATCTGATGCACGAATACCATTCAAGATTCAAAGAAGACAATTCCCTATGGTTAGTTCTTATGCAATGACGATTAATAAGAGTCAAGGCCAATCTTTAAAACACGTGGGATTATTGTTACGGAAACCCGTATTTAGTCATGGACAATTATATGTTGCGGTTTCAAGGGTAATAAATTGTAATGGCTTGAAGCTGCTTATTTGCGACGTAGAGGATGTCTCAACAAAATGTACCACTAATGTAGTTTATAAAGAGGTTTTTCAAAATCTGTAATTTATAGACATTTATGATTTACAATACTGAAAAATATTATATTTCATTATATGTTGTATTTCTTTCCTTTTATAATGATACCAATGTAAATTCACAACGTAATTGCGACCCGTGCAACGCACGGGTGTGATACTAGTAGTGTATTAATACAAGGTGGGACTTGCTTTTTACAATATAGTGTTAATTTTGCACAACCCATTTGAGTGGTAATTTTGCTATAATGTCTTGTATATCATATACTTTTTATAATATACAAGACCCATTGAAGTTTCTCTGAGTTCCAAAATGTAAGCAACATTTCAAACGACGTGTAAAATATTATTTTTTTAAATTATTTTATTTACAAATTGGTAGAGAAATAAAAATTAACAATTACACCGTTAAAAAATAGAAAACAAATTCTACAAAATAAGATGCGACAATAATATTTTATTTTATCAAATGGTCGATCAAAACAAGTAAACAAACAAAAGTCATCGAGAGGCCAAAGTAGTAAATGTTGCTTACATTTTGAGATGGAAGGAGTATTTGTTACAGTTTGACTAACTTTCATCCTAAATTAAATATAGATTTTAAGATATAAATTCTTAAAATTTTAATACATCCAAATTGTAGTACATTTTAAAATGAAATGATTTATATTAAATTTAAATAGTAATTAAATATACTTTCTCGCAGTTTATACTCAAAGTTACTATAAAAGTAGAACAACTTTAATTTTTTTTCGGACGAATGAAGTATAGAAAACCAAATGGTCCTTTCGCCATTGAGTATCAATATCATATGAGTCATGCCATAGAACTCATCACGATTGACATTACGGATGGCAATCGTCTGTGAACTTATACACACGCAGGATTATCATTCGTAAACACATAGAATTAACAAATGATTATCGTCTCTGTGTGTATAAGTTCATAGACGGTTGTCATCTTTGTTGTCAACCGTGATAGGTTTTAAACATTTTTTATTTCTTATTATTACATTGATGCTCCGCTAGATCTGAAAGTGTTTCCTACCAAGTCTAATCCCACTATCCCTGCACCCTCTCCATTTTGTCAAAATGTTATAATACATGTCGTATCATTTCGGCAAAATGGAAAGGAGGAAGGGGTGGCTAGGGTGCAAGGGGATGGGTGTTTTGAGGATTTAAGAGTGGTAAACCTGTTGGATATATGAGCCCTAGAGGTCAATGTATGAATCAGTATCTGAATATTTATCAAGAATAAAAGGCTCTAATTTTTTTTATACATCTCGTGTATTTAAACATGGCTTTAGTCCATAGACTTAATGCTTTGGTAGCATAGATTAGAACTACGATGTTCAGATTATGAGGTTGTTAAGTTAAAAGAGGTTATGTCTAAGATATGCTTAGTCAAAAATTATGATAATACGGACATCATAATATACTAAGACTAATATGTATGAGACAAGATAGCTTCATCTCATAGGTTATTATATGGATATTGTGATATCTCAATCCAGACGTATGTACATGTATGGGATATGGTACTCGACTGACCCACCATGAGAATACTACATGAGTATTATTTTAAATGTATTAGTAGTATTCTCATTCAACCATTGGTATAACTATCCTTTGACTTGAGGTTATTATGATCTTTAATATGTTGACCTATATGCTTTGATTCATATTTAATGCCATCTAAAATACTAGTGGACGTACAGTTATATTTTGGGTATATATTTAAACATATGTAAAGGCATGAATGACGTAGAAAGAACTTATCTCTTTCATTGTGATGAAGTGTAATGTCTTCGGGCCCACTGATTGATGTGACTTGGGAAGTGTATGGCCAAACTCAGATAAATTAATATATGTGATATAAATGTTATTTGAATTCCACAAGTCAATATGAGAATCAGTAAACCAATGATTTAACTCTAACAAGGTGACACTTTTCATACCTTGTGTTAAATCAAGACTTGTCCCAGAGATAAAGGGATAAGAGTTATACAAATTTAATGTGTCGTTGAAGTTATTGTTGCAATGAACATTATGTTTATAACTTAGATAGCGATAATGTGTTGCTAGATACCGCTTATCGTTTATAATATAAATTGTGAACTAATATTATCAATGTTATGAATACCTAGAAGGGTCACACACATAGAATAATTGAACGGAGTAAAATATTAAATGAGAATGATAAAAAATAATATGGGACGTGTGATGTACATATTAAATAAATATGTTGATATTTTAATTATGTGATAATTATGTTTGTCAAATATTATGTGTGAAATAAGATATATATATAATATATATATATATATGTATATATATATTTATATATATATATATATATATATATATATATATATAAAGGGGGGGTGAATAGAGTTGTTGAGAATCGATTAAGGCTGGCAGAGCTGACTATTCGATTTTTTATCTTCCTTTAATCGATTATCCATTTCCTCGCAGACTCCATTAATAGATTTTTGAAGATGCTTTAATCGATTTTTTATGATGCATTGATCGATTATGGTGATGCATTAATCGATTAATGCGCTGCATCTTTTCTTGCACAGCTTCTTTTCCTGGACCAACGGATATATTTCTTCAATTCCTATTTAAACACACTTCCTTGGTCATTTTTTTTGAACAAGAAACACTCCAATACTCCCTATTCTTGAGGTGTTAATCCTCCATCAATCATTCCTCAAATTTATATTATTTTGAGAGAAAATTATATTTTAAAGAGAGTGTTCTTCTCATCCATAGAGCTTAATCTTTTCTCATTTCTACTCTTGTGAGAGTCATTGTTGTGAGGTTGAAGAAGATTGTTCTTCTTGTTGTTCAAGACTTATGTGACTTAAGTCTTGGTTGTGAAGTCTTGTAGAGGGTACATCTACGAGTGGTTGTGTTGAGGCTTGTGAGATTCAACTTCTCGGTTTGTAAACGGTTTGTCAAGCACCCGTTGAAGCTTGATAAGTAGTGGTAGCTACGAGAGAGTCTCTCGGGGAACTGGACTAGCCACGAGGTGGTGAACCAGTATACATCGGTGTGTTCTTTGCCTTCTCTCTTTTATCTCCGCTGCACTTACGTTTATTTTATTTATCCTGCGAAAATCGGTAATCATTCTCAACAACTCTATTAACCCCCCCTCTAGAGTTGCACGCATTGTCTAAATATATATATATATATATATATATATATATATATATATATATATATATATATACATACATACATACATACATACATACATACATACATACATACATACATATATATATACATACATACGGCCCGGTTCTAGTGCCACCGGAGAACGTTGGATCTCTACTCTAACTTACTGCAAGCCGTCCAGATATCTCATATGCAGTAGGTGTTTGTGCCAAATTCCAGTCAAAGCCAGAGGAAAGTCATCTAATAGCAGCTAAAAGGATTCTTAGATACCTCAAAGGAACTCAGAACATGGGTTTATGGTATGCTAAGAGTAGCTCATTTGAGTTAGTGGGATACTCAGATTCTGACTTTGCCGGATGCAAAGTTGACAGGAAAAGTACATCTGGTACTTGTCAATTCATTGGTGGAAATCTTGTTTCTTGGTTCAGTAAGAAACAAAACTCCATCTCTACATCAACAGCAGAAGCAGAGTACATTGCTGCTAGTAGTTGTTGTGCTCAAATCTTGTGGCTAAAGCAACAACTACTGGATTATGGAGTCAAGACAAGAGAAGTGACAATTTTCTGTGACAATCAAAGTGTTATAGCTATCTCACAAAATCAGTGCATCATTCTCGCACTAAGCACATTGATGTCAAGCATCACTTCATCAGAGATCATGTCGAAAAGAAATCAAAATTGAGTATATCTCAACTAAAGAACAATTGGCGGATATCTTCACAAAACCACTAAGTGAAGCCAAGTTTTCCGATTTGCTTCACAAAATTGGTCTAATTCAATTAGACTGAGTGCGGTACACGTGGTAGTCCACTTTCCACGTCTGTCAGAATAATGGGTAGGCACGTGGTCTTGGGAACAGTTAAAAACCCAATTGCCACTAGCCGCATAAATCGCCCAAATTAAACCCAATCGCCACTATAATCAGATCTCAACTGCCCACTCAGCCCACTCAAATTTTTCGTCGTCTTCTTCGCGAGAACTCTCTGATAGAATTCTCAAGAACCCTAATTTCTTCAGATCTTCTCACTCAAATTTCCGAGAAAATGAAGATTGTTGGCGCTAATGTCCATTTCCAGAAATTGGAAGCCAAAAGCTCTTCACCGGCGTTCTATCAATCCTATCTGGAGATGATTGCTGCTCAAGAGCTCTCCGAATTCCTTCATATGGAGATTCAATTCAAGTATGAGAACGAAGTTCTTGAATTCTACAAGAACGGAAAGGTCAAGACTGTCAAATCGAAGAAGGACCCACAGAGGACGATTCAAGTCATCAAGTCCACTGTTGGAGGAACTAAAGTGAAGCTCTCTCAGAAGAAATTGGGAGAAAAGCTTCACCTTCCCAATTCTGGAGTTGAAATTGGGAGACTTCCAGCCAAGAATCCGGATTGGAAGATTATTGGAATTTCTAGACAAGTTCCCTCTAGCCCAGTGAAGAAATCAGATTTGAAGAACGACTACAAGCTAGTCCTGGAATTGGTCATCGCTTGCCTCGAGTGTGGAAGTGGAGGACATGCTGATGACATCACTCAAGAGAGGGCCTTCATCATCAACACCCTCCTTACCAAATCTAAGGTAAATTGGGCTGCACATTTCTTCAATTCCATTTCCAAGCATTTAGGGAAGCCCAAACAAAAATATTTATGTCAAGGACTGTACCTTAGGTACATCTTGGAGTCCATGGGCGTTGCCTCTAAAGGGAAGAAGTATGATGCCAGATATTGGCTATACTACCTGTCTTCCAAAGGGGACACTACGCCAAAAACAGCATCAGACGACTGTTGATTAACTACTATTTATACAAACACAGTAGTTGGAAAAAAACAGACTACTGTAAGTTTTTCTTGGCAATAAAACTGTAGTCTAGCTGCTATGCTTTAAAACTATTTTTAAAGTTTCGAGAAACGGTAATGTATCATTAGTATTCTGTCTCAGTTCAAAATACAGTTTTTCTTACAACAGTTGTCAATAACAAGTTAAGAATACTCTATTTAAACAATAGTCTGGGTTTTTATTTTACAACTGTTTTTAAACTTATTAGAAACAGTTATCTATTGTTAGTTGTCTGTTTCATATAGTTTTTTTTGCCACTATTGTTTATAATAGGAATAGAAGACTCTTTTGTAACAATAGTCTATGAATTATGGGTAGAACTGTTTTTGAGGTTGTGAGAAACGGTCATCTATTATTAGTAGTCGGTTTCGTAAAAAAATACAGTTTTTATTGCCACAGTTGTCAATAATTAGTTAAGACTACTATTTCCTAACAGAAGTCTAGTTTCCCATTGTATAACTGTTTTTAAACTTATAAAAAATAGTAATGTATTACAAGTAGTGTGTCTCACACTTTTTTTTCACGGTTATCTATAATAAGTAAAGAAAACTGTGTTTAAGAGAATTGTGCATATTAAGCCTAGAACTATTTTAAAAGTTAAGAATACTCGTTTTAAATAGTAGTCTAGCTCTTAAGCCTAAAACTATTTTAAAAGTTCGGAGAAACGGTAATCTTTTTACAATGAAAATGTTTTCGCTATCTAACTTTACATTCATACTTTCGGGCCAAATTTATACAACAATCAAATAACCGTTGTTCCAAACAATTATATGGACATGAAAAAATAAACAATTGTATTGAAACAAAAGAAAAAGTACATGGACAGGCTGGAAATTATCCTGCTACACACAAAGAGAATTGGGAACCCATATAATCAATTAATCTCACATCATAAAACCAAAAAACAATGAGAAGATGGCGAGATTCAAATAAGAGTACACAAAATTTATTTAAAACAAAATTAAGAGTACATTGACTTTCTTCAATCCAAAGTAGAAAATAAACAAAATACAAAGAATGAAACTCCATATTCTAAAATTACTCAAATTAAAGAATAAAGACCAAATCTTCAAGGTAAGAGTGCCAATTACACAGAGCTTGGTTTTTAGCCATGGTTTTACTCTCCCTAATGAGTTAAGCTTGACCCTTTGCCTTTGTGGAAGAGAGAACAACATCATCACCCCTCTTAGTCCTTGCACTGCTGGTTGCTTGGCCTCCTGACTTTGGCATGGCAGCATCACTATAACCATCCACAACAGATTCATCACCTTTCAAAGCCTTCTTTTTCTTCTTTTGTTTATTACCCGTTGCTAGTGCCTAGTGGCATGGCAGTAGGTCCAGTTTGACCACCCTCAACTGTCTTCTCCTAGCTCTTTTGGGGGTTTGGCCACTAGTTGTTGTGGTTAACGCCCCATTATTAGCCGGTTTATACCTCCTCCAAAGAGCGTGTAAGGCTCGAGAGTCCATTTTCCCCTCTCTTGACATCAAAGCAAATCACAATCTAAGTTCGAGACA